GGAAGTTACTGGAATGCGTGTGGAAGTTACTGGAATGCGTGTGGAAGTGTTGCGAGTAGCCTTTGTCCTGACTTGAGGTTTTCTCAGATGCAATGCAGATTGCTTCCAGTGAGTTTTTAGTTACTTGATCTCAGGAACCTCACACCCCCTCGGTATGGTGGTCTCTGCTTTTCAGGGGGAGGGAGGTTTCACTGAGTGCCTGACTTGACTGTGAAAGACCCAGTAGCAGTAAAGCAGCAGTGCCCCCTGCAGAGAGTGGCAAATGGTTAGAGTTGAGAGCTGACTGTTCTCAACCATTGCAGACAGATGCAAAATCTAATAATGCTTGAGATTGTGTGGCACATCAAATGGAAAAAGGCTTTGTGCCATGTTACACATGAAGAGTACTCCTGACTTCTTCAGAATGTAGTAAAACTAAAATGTGTGTGAATATCCTGCAAAGATTTCGTTTGTTGACAAATGTCAGGTAGCAGAGAACCTTTCCTCTTGGAACTGACAAAAATAATTATGTTTTTGCTCAGAGTGTTCTCTGTATTGATCCTCCAGCAGCTCGTGCAGGCAGGCCTTGGCAGTGGGAGCAGTGTATGCAAAACATAGCTCTGACCACCCTTTTTCTTGCAGGGATTGATATAATCAAGAGAACACTGAAAATCCCAGCGATGACTATTGCAAAGAACGCTGGTGTCGAAGGATCATTGATAGTTGAGAAAATCCTGCAGAGCCCGTCAGACGTTGGCTACGATGCAATGCTTGGGGACTTTGTAAATATGGTAGAAAAAGGAATCATAGACCCAACAAAGGTAACCTAAAAGTCTTAATTCTCAGCTTCTTCTCCTCCCACCTCCTGTGACAGCCAGCAGGCATTAAGTTATTTCTTCCCTGTTTTTAGGTTGTGAGAACTGCTCTGATGGACGCCGCCGGTGTCGCGTCTCTCCTGTCAACAGCAGAAGCAGTGGTGACTGAGGTTCCCAAAGAAGAGAAGGAGCCGGCAATGGGAGGGATGGGTGGCATGGGTGGAGGAATGGGAGGTGGCATGTTCTAATTCCTGGGGTAGGGATGCATCATGAGCTGTGCTGTTGAAGACTGACAGTTCTGACTTTAAAAACTTGAGCTATCAGTGTCAGAGGGTGGATAGTGACTGAAGTGAGGCTGGTGTTGAAAAATCACTGTAACCATCAGTTACTGGATTTCATTTAACACACGTGTAATTGTTTACAGTCATTGTCCATGCCTACAGATAATTTATTTTGTATTTTTTGAATAAAGACATTTGTACATTCCTGATAACTGGGTGCAAGATCCATCTACCAAGGTCCTGATTTGAACTTAATTAAGGCACTTGATATTCTATTACAGAATTTCTTGGTGCTTGCCAGTACTAGGAAGAACTTGGAAGCCACTGTGCGTGAGACTAGACAATTGTGTACAAAGTAGGCAAATAGAGTTATGTGACCTTTATGTAATAAACTGCTCAAAAGTTACAAAAATGTATCACCTTTTTCATCTGCCATAGTTATGGGAGAGCCTGGACAGCCTGCCTCTAAGATTTACTAGAAATAGACACTTAATGCTTGAAAAAATGACAGGGCATTTCACGCTGAGAAACATTCCTTTGTCTAGAATGTTTCTCAGAAATGCAAGTGACTTTAATTTTGGTAAGAAATACCTAAGCTGAACTGCACTACAGTTCTTTGAAATATTAAACAATGCTCTGAAAACAAGGCACGTGCACTGGCTTTATTTTGCCCTGTCTATGCTGGTTGTTTCATGTGCTCGAACAGGCCCAGTGCACCTTTCACAGTGGAAGGGAAGTGCCCTGAGGGTATCAAACAGGTAAGTCTTGCCTAAGAAAGGGTTTGGGGAGGTTTTAAACAGTTCCTTTGATCAGGTGTAACATATGGTTACCTCCTCACTTTAAGCCTTCCAGTCTTGTCTTCCTGGTAATGGGTTGCAGAATTTATTTTGCACTAGATGCTGTTTTACCGTTAGAAATGTTGCTTTGGCACTTACTGGGTTCTTTGACCTGACAAAGCTAGTATCAGTGATGTGTAAAGTCGTCTGCTTTCCAAACTGCAGAACAATGGTGTTCCCAAACTTCTGTATGCTCATCTCTGATTGCCTCAACAAACGAAATTGCTGTACAATTTCTCAGTGCTGTAAAACTGGCCTCAATCCAGCTGTCACTTTCCTCAGCTTCCTGCCCTTAATAACTGTCCTTCACAGAGGGGACATGTGACATGGCAACTCCTCTTTCTGGAAAAGTAAACAATCTGAAACTGTTTGAGGGCTGTCTTTATTCTGAAACATAACCTTCCTATGTTACCTAACATGCTGTGCTGTAGTAACCACGTGGGTTACAGACACTTTGGAGAAAGGACCAGCTTCAGCACCTGACCTAGAGCTTCACCTAATTTCAGTAAGGAAATTGGGTAATGCAAGGCAGCACACAGTGAGGATTTAAAATCTATTCAAACCTATTCACCTGTGTGTCTTCAGAGACTGGAAAGAATAATTATGCCAGGGACAGAAGTACTGAATGTGGATTTAATCAGGACAGCTGGTGCTATCGTAATGGGCTGAGAATAAAATGGTAGTATAGTAATGAAAACCCCCTAAGAACTAAGGGTTTTAGTGCTCTTGTATGCTTTTTAATGACAGCTGGCTGTGGGTGTGCTTGGCTGCAGGGAGCAGAGGACATCTTGTTCCCTTCTTCCAAGAGAGGACAGTACTGTGGTCCCTTGCTCTCAAAGAGGTAACACTTCCTTGTTTTACAGTGTGGGAACTGTTTGCATTAGATGAGTAACTAACCAAAGTGCTACTTTAAGGGTGCAGGAGTGGAGGGGGGGGCAAGCTCAGCCTGCCAAATGTACTGCAGAGTGATCGGTTTCTGGAGCCCAGACGGATCCACTGGGAACCCCTGGCTGCAGCTGAGACTGCTGCACTCAGATTACAGTACTCCTTATGTGTATCCCCTGCATTTAGTTTCTGACAGTTGAGGGTGTTCTATAGCAGTTGCAGGTCAGTTCAGGAGCAGCCAGAGATTCCCGACTCACCTTTGCCATTCATGTGGATTGAAAGCACCCACCAGTCGGTGCTTGGCAAAGTGTTCCGTTCTCTGTGAAGCCAGAATGTCGTTTTCCCTTGGCTTGGCCAGAGCTGGCTGAGTTGGTGCTGTTAAATTACAGTCACACTACTAATAACTTAAACTTGAGTTAATATGTTACAGTGCTAAAAGAAAAATCATGAGCTTGGATAAGGCAGAACTTGGACCGTGATTACAGGAGCCGTTGGGCACGTTAAGGGCAGCCTGAGATATCTTGGGTTACAGTTGCTGCCTGTTGTCTGTTACTGATAAGGCTTTAAGTTGCACTTGATTGCAGCTTTTGAACTTTCTATACAGGTCTGGCTGAGCAGGTACGTTTGGTACAGTATAAAATCTTAACACACAGCTCAGATAAGAAATAGATGCCCCAAAGGTGGAGCACGGCACTTAGTACAAATGAAGTGTACAAACAAGGTTGTAACTGAGGTGGTTACAGTTGTCCCTTTACGTCTGATGAACTTCATGGAGCATCAGCTCCCGAGGTATGCTGGTTTCTGGGCCATGGAGTTTGGATGCTCTTCTTTCAAAGGCAGCAACCATCTGCTTTACCACTTCATCAAAAAACAGTGTAGCAAGTTTTGAGTGTAGAAGTGAACGAAATTCAAAAGAAACCTGTTTAAGACAATAGAGAATAATTATTTTTCCTGTTATCTACTGTTGTGATAAAATGCTGTTACAAATAGACAACTCTATTAAGGAATCTCTAGTGAAGTTTTCAGGTAAGTTGTGGGAGAAAGAACAGTTTTTTCTGAGGTAAAGGTGAGTGTGTCTGTGAAGAAAAGCTGTGTTCCTTGGTCTCAGGACTGTTCCCCTGGGCTTTTGAATTAGAAGAATCCTTTCATTCAAGCTCTCTGAAGTAATCATTTACCTAAGCTGTCTTTAATAAATAATGCATCACAAAACAGATTTGGGATAATGAAAAACTACTGACAAACAATAACTGTTACTTTGTGCACAGGATTCACTTGGGGGACTGAAAGTTGTCTGAAGAAAAATCCTGCATGACAAGACAGCAGACTTACAGGTAAGCTGGAGCACACCCAAGAGACTTAAAAGCAGCTTGAAATAGTTACTTATTAAATACCAATATTTTAAATCAGTCCTTATTGGTGGCAGTAGTTCTGATATGTTCAAACAAGCAGTTTGCCAAGTAAAACTGCAGATTTGGTTTGTTTTGTATCTCCCACCTGAACAGCTCCCACTCCCAACCTGACATGGGCAGTTAATGGAATGGATTGAGATTGAAGTATTTGTGTCATCTCTGAGAAATCAGCAGATTCAATGCCAAATGGAGCACATACAGCTTCTCCCAAATTCCTTATGAGCAATGCACATTAACTACAAAGCTGTAGAACAGAAGTAACTAAATGACTTGGCCCAAAAGCCAAGTGTAGCTTCATTTACATTTTCTTGACCTCAAGCAACAGTAAAATTAATGTGTATTTTGTAAGTCAGAGACTTATCGTTCAAGGCATGCAGAGTTCTGCAGAGCAGGGATAATGAATCTGGCATCATGCTCAGGAATTTCGTAAATCTTGAGGTGTGGTACATTTATATCCATACACTTAGGAAGTTTGCAGATGGTAAGAGTGGTGGTGTGTTTCAGTCTATGTACCAAATCATTTCAGAGCTGAAACCAAAGTAGGAAAGTTCCCTGCTGGATATGTGTGTCTCCTGGAATCAGGCTGGCAAAACAGGATACAGCAGCTTCTGGGAACCGGCATAACCCAAAACTCAAGTAACATTTTCTAAAGGAAACAAGTGTTCTTGAAATCAAAGTTCTCTCTTGAATATCTGTAATTGCACGGCGTGTTTTGAGGAGTTTGTTGTGAAATGCTTATCATTCCTGTCTGCATGTGCCCAGAGGCAGAACTAGCAAGGGTTAAGGCCCTAGGGAGGCAGCCCCAGCTCAGCTGGCTGCACTGGCTGCTGCTGCCTCAAAAAGGGGTGAGCAGTAAGATGTGTCCATAGCGTTCCCCCAAGACAGGGAAAATATTCATATCAGGTGCAGTTTTGACTCCCTTTAGGTGACCTGAAATGTCAAAAACGTGGCTTTGGTATGGGGGTGGGTTGTGTGTTTCCTCACAGACTCTGTATTTAGATTATAGGTTTAAATAGTTGTTTAATTCAAGTTTTCTCAACTTGGGTTTTTATGGCTTGGGATTTAGGGCTTGGGCTAAAAGCTAGCTTATGTACTGGTTAGTAGCAGGAACTGGCACTTATTTCCCTGGAGAAAATCAAATGTCATGAGCAAATAATGTGCAAACATCATGAACAAATCCTATGAGAAATGTATTTTTTTGAGTGCCACTAGATTAATTTTTATTCTTGAACCATAAGAAGTGAAATACAGCTGAAATAAGCTGAAAGCTTTTAACCCAAGGAGGTTAATGTGCTAGTTTCAAAATACCCCAAAAGCTTTTTCCTGTTTACTGAAGATAATTTTCAAAGTACAGTATTCCAGTAGATGGCAGCAGGATTAACCCATCTCTGTGCACTTTTGCAGCCTGCTGTGATCCCCAGCTTAATTATGTGCTCAATGCAACTCCTACACTTTATGCTATAAAATGCAAGAAAAAAATATGATGACAGACTGAGCAGACAACACTGAAAAGCAATAACTGGAGTGGAAAACAACTTGTCTGGGAGTAAAATCAGGCTCAGTCAGGTACTGGATTTAAAGAGCAATAATTTGGGCTGCAGTGATATCCCATCACAGATAAGAAAGATCAGACAGGAAAAATCTTTTATGCCAAAAGGAAAAAGTAAGACTTAAAATACATGACAGAGTAAAACTGAAAGCCAGGAAATCAAATTGACCAAACTGCAGGCCCAACAGGACAGATGGTACCAGAAAGTAGGTGCTCTCCCAAGTTAGGCTGTAGAAAAATTAAAGGAAACAGGAAACTATGTGTAGCATTTCTCCCTCTGTATTTGACTGTCTGGAAACTTCAGCATGTTTAGAACTGTATGGTGAGAGGTGCCCATCCCGAGACTGTTTTCTGATACCTGGACACCTCACAGAAGATTCCTGTCTCTAAAGGACACTCTAGTGGTTTCTGTGTGGTCAAGTTTTTGGATAGTATTGACTAAAACTAACTTGTTTTCTGTGTATTTGTGTTTAACAAAAAGTACCAGGCATAAAAAAACCAAAACCATACAGTTGAAGACAGTGTTTCTAATTAAGGGACTGCTCCTTAATTACGATACTTACTGAAAAATCCAATGTACATGTCCTTGGATATCCAGGGATACCTGGGCTCAAACGCCACACTGTTTCCAAGTGATTAAATAGTTTTCCATCTGTGCACGATGCCTAAAATAAAATTTAAAAAGTCAAGCTGCAATTAGGCTTTTACAAACGTGACAAACTGGTATTACTGAAGTTTGCATTTGCATTTCTTAGGCAGTGATGGTCACAGCAAGATTGAAACAGTTCTCACAGCACAGCCAGCATGAGGTCCCATATGTGTCATTTATGGCAAAATAACTGAATCCCTTTTAAGGGAGGGGGAAAATTTGTGTGTTGAGCATCATGAAACAGGATCTGTGGCATGATACATGGAACATCATGCTAGTTATGTACCAGGATTTTGAACAATACTGCTTTAAGCAAAGGATATAGATATTTACTGGGGTTTTAGGTGGTTATGCTTTGTTACATGTATAGAATGTTTTAGATACTGATCTATGGACTGATAGCTTTGGGCCATAGGAATGGTTAGCCCCAAGACAAATGTGTTTGAAGACAAACTCCAAAGATCCTCTGTCACAAGATCCTGTTGTGACCAAGAGCTGCCACAAAGTCAGTAGACCATACACTCAAGCTCATGACTCTGCCTTTTGGTTCCAGGTAAGCCCTATTTGGCTAGTGCTTTAAGAGGGCTTGCAAACAGTCCTTTAAAACAGTAAAATATTGGCATTAGTTTGAGTCATAATTTTCATGGCAATAGGGTCTTTATTTTCATTTATTTTGCTTTTGGCACATAGAACTAATTCTGTCTGGCTATATTTATAAAAGAAAAAAATTGAAAGACCTATTCTTCAAAATCATCCAAATACATAACCTCAACTGGGTTAGAATCTGGAGAGAAAATTCCTGTAGCTTTTTTTATTTAATCTTTTTTTTCTTTTGTTACAAGTTCTTATTGTTGCCACAAGCAGCTCTGCTCCAAAAAGACTACCCACGAGGAATAGGTGTTGCTTGGGTTGGAAAGCTGTGGTAAGGTGAGTCATCTCAAAGACTAATCAGCAGCACGAAAATACCTATGTTTTTCTTTCCAGGAATGAGATGATGCAGGGCCTTGCTACTTCTACAACAGAAAGAAGGGAGTAGAGGGAAGATTAAACACAATGAGCTGGGTTTGCTTCCCTACTGCTGCCAAAACAGCAGGAAGAGTGGGAAAACTGCCACTGTGTCCCCCCTGCTCACAATCTTATGAGTAGCAAACTCACTCCATGCTTTCCCCCTCAGCAAAGACTGCTGTTACCAGTTTGATTATTCAGTTGTTCAAGTGCTGCTGCCTTAAGCAACAAAAAAAAACCATCCCCATTTTGTCACCACATGCAAGGTGCCTTTGCCCAGAGTTACTTCAGAGGAGAGTGAAATAATCCAAGCACACAGTGGCTTCTCTAGAAATGTCCTACAGTCATATGAATATAATGTAAATCTCTAGGAATGGTAATTGCAGCAGAGAAAAGGCCAATGAGTCCAGGAGGAGAAAATCTGAAGAAATGGTTTACCTCTCTAGTTTTATGGGTTTTTTTTCCTGAGACAGGAACACCTCTTTTGAGTGAATTAAGAGGGGAATAAGAGTTGGTAAGCCAGTCTGATAGCTGTGTGACAGAAAAAAGCCTGTCTTGTCAGGGAAGAGTAGAAGAGGAAAGCTCTCAGCATGTGAAACACACATTTCCCCATTGTAGCTACTCAACTGTCTTAATAAAGGCAAAAAAGAAAATCTTTTTTTCTTTCCAGAATCAGTAAGTGCATTAAATAAAAGCACTTTGCATATTCCTTTTCCAATTTATGTCTTTCCTGTACTTCAGAAACTCATTTTCAGTTAAGTATCTCTTATTAGGAAGCCTAGAAATAAGAGTATTCAAACAATTATCTTGAACAGCAACCAGTTGTTGTAATTTCCACTAATTACTCCAAAACATTCAGGACCTGCCACACGAAGGGAGAGGCAGTTTTGCTGTAAGGAATCTGTTCTGAGCCATTCTTTACTAAAACAGGTTTGAACATATAAGGCAAGCAAATTCTTAGAAGATCCAGACATCATTTAAAATTTCTGCCTTGACTCTTTTCTATTTTTCTCTTAATTACTGAAAAGCTGAAAGGAGAAATACAACTGTTTCTCTTCTGAACAAATTAATTGTAAAAAAATTGACTTTAAATCCACTCTTCCATTTTCTCATCAATATATTGAATAACAAGCTCTTCAGCAGATCCTACACTTACGTTTAAGGCTTTTCATATTAATTAGTTAAAATTGTGAGAAGAAAAGTAATGACAAATAGCAACTTTGCTAAGGCATCAGAAGCTACTGTTGTCAAAGACAACTTTTATGTCAAAGATAACTTTAAAGTAAGTACTAACTATTTAGAGAGTCTTGGACAAAATTATAACAAAATACAAATCAGAAGTGTTATGTCTTCATCAATGGCTGCCATCTTCTCCAGCAAAGGCAAGTTAAAAAGTGATTCCTCTTTCTCCCCCGTGTGGCAGGATATGTTTTAAAAGCACATTGAAATTCTCCCCCAGTTTATCTAAAATCCTTAAAGAAAAGCAACACAAGTTTTGAGCCACAGAAAGAATTTCCAGCATCAATTTTGTTTCGAAACAGGATGTTCCTGGAATATTCAAATTTCAAGAACAAATGTTAAGGAAAGTTAGGAGAGGAAAAAAAACCAAACAGTTACCTTAACTAAATGTGGTCTCACTAGGGTAACAACTGATGTGTAGTTCTCTACTACAGGAGGGAATCCTATTTCCAGCTGTGCTTTGCAGTACCCAGAGCGCTTCGAGAGTATGTCTGACTTTTTACACCAAGGAACAAAGAGTTTGTAATTCTCCACAACAGCAACAACTTCATACATTTCTTGCATAGAATACCTGGAAACAGAAGTAGGAGCGTTACAGTTACAAGGTATTTTAACTTTAATTCAGTATTGAAGTGTCAAAGATGGTATAAATGGTGTTGGCAGTTGGAAGGTGAACATACAGTCACCTGAAAACTTCCACTGGTTCTGGAGATTAAAAATGCAGGTTTGCTAATTAAGAGGAAAAGAAAGTAGTAAGCTGGTGGTAGTCTTTACATAAAGAAGCAAACTACAACACACCATCCAGCAGTAAAGTTAGTGAACATAAGCTAAAGAGTAACCCAGGTCTTTTACTGTTCTTTCTCTAATTAAACCATCAGGACTCTACATCTGGAATCATATAATCAGAAATGGAACCAAACTTCCCTACTTAGCATTAGGCTTTTTTGGGGGTCTGTTTGGTTGGTTTGGTGGGTTTTTAAACACAGTGAACAGATAGATGCATTAGATACATTTTTTTTTTTCCCAACCACCAAAATAGTCTAGCAAATTAGTTACCAATTTTGAACAATTAAACTGAACATGTTCTTTAAAAAAATCAACATAAAAATCTAAAGAAGTTAGTGAACATGACTCTCTCTGAAGTGTCATGTAAATGTGCATACATTTCAAATGAAACATATTTTTTTAATGAGGTTTAAACAGAGGAACACTACGTTCCTCACATCAGCTTAATTAAAAAATACATACAATGGAAAAACCTTCCAGCATCACAGAATGGCTGAGGTTGGAAGGGACCTCTGGAACTCGTTCAACCCCCCTGCTCAGGCAGGATATTGAAATCAGATGAAACACATAATAGCAACATTTTAGTTGATTGTACTGTAACGTGGCAAAGTATTATTAGCAATGGTTTTTAACTATTATTTCTGACTCAGGAACAGATGGGATTAAACATGGGCTTCAATTCTTTAAAATGAAGCATATGTTCAGCAGTACTCAGCAGTGAGTACTCTTGGATAAAGGCCTTTTTTTAGTGACTATGTAGATATGTTACAGTTCAAGAACTACCACATAAAGGAATGCTATTGTGGACCAGAGACTGGGGGCAGATCCCAGCGTCGTTAAATGAACTGGAATTTTCCCACTAGCTCTAGGGCAAACTGGATTTCAGAATCTTTTTCTATGTGCCTTAGTTTCTTCATCACACAACCAATTATTTTCCTTCTTTTAAAGAAAGAAGAAAATCTTCAGAACTACAATATAACGTACAAGCAAACATTAGCATGGATTTGGGACAGGATGAAACAGAGTTTTCACACCTCTTGGTTTATTCATATTTTACCAGATGAAATTATCAGTGTATCACTCCCTTTCAAGGTTGGTTTTGTTTCATCATGGAACAGAACAGTTATTTCTGCTCTTTCTTTCTGTGGGCCAAGGGTTTTGGATTTCTAGTTTTTTTATACTCAGTTTCAGACTGGTAAATCCTATCTTTACAAATCCTGAAAATCAGAACTCCTTTTTACATTCCAGTTGGGCAAAATCATAGGGGCATGTGTCTGTAGGGACGGGGGGGGGGTTAACTCCTTTTGAACTTCTAGTGTTTCAGATTAATTACAGCAGATATAAAAGCAATAAGCATTTGAAGTCTCTTTCCACAGTTTTATACAAACCCTATAATTCTTCTTTCAGAATATTCTTTTCTTTTGTTTACTAGTGGTGCAGCAATGTTGAAGAAATTCCTTGAAAAAGTCTGGCTCGTTACAGGTACTTGCAAAGGAGAAGTTCTGGTCATCAGAACACCACAAGAAGCCAAGTGCCTGAAACAGTGAAAATGCTTTTAGATATGTTTCATATCAGCAAAATAAGTAACAGCACATTCAAGTGGGACAAACAACCTGTTGTATAACACTCCAGACAATGTCTGTCAGGTGGAAAAGCAAAGGCTCATAACAGTGCACAAACTGTCAAACATTTCCTTAAGAGAAACTAAAAATAGCCCCCAGTCATGACAAAAGTAACCGGCAGAGTGGAACACAAAGGCCCTCACTAAACACTTGAACACATGGCAGCCTGAGTTCGTGTACAAGTCTCATGTGCACTTCATTTGCAGAACAGGTTTTCCTAATAGCAAAATCAAGGTTTGCAATACTTATCCCTTTCGGAATACACAAAGTGGAGAAGATTTCACTTGGAGGTACAAAGCTGAACTCTGGTGCCATCCTTCTCTTAAAAGGACAGATTAATTTTGAAAGTCCATTCAGAAGGTGCATTGTTACCCAGCTTTCCAAATTTCCTTCGGAAAATATAATCAAAACCTTGGACACAGTGTTTTCATAAATAAAACTTAATTATCTGTAAAAGGACTAATAACCTTAAGATTGCACCTCAGTGTTCTCTGTTTGTGGACATCTACACTAAAATCTAAAAAATATTCATTGTGATTAACAATTCTGTTCTGCTAAATTACTGATTTTGCTGAGATCAGGTAGATCAAAATGCAAAATGCTGCCTCAAATTTCTGATTTTTGGCACCAGGAAATTAAAAATGCTACTCTTTGTCCTCAATGGCTCTACAAACATAAGCTAAAGAGTAACTCAGGTCTTTTACTGTTCTTTCTCTAATTAAACAATCAGGACTCTACCTCTGGATTCACATAATCAGAAGTGGAACCAAACTTCCCTACTTAGCATTAGGCTTCTTTGAGGTTGGTTTGGTGAGTTTTTAAACACAGTGAACAGATAGATGCATTAGATACATGGTTTTTTCCCAACCACCAAAGTGGTCTAGCAAATTAGTTACCAATTTTGAACAATTAAACTGAACATGTTCTTTAAAAAAATCAACATAAAATTCTAAAGAAGTATAGTAGTAACCCCTGACTGAGCACATCAGCTTGTGTGGTCACTGTGTTGGGAGACAGGCAAATAATAAATTGGTATTGAGTTAGAGGAAAATAATCATCATTAGCAGATGGTTAGAAACAATCTGTATAGACTTTTTAAAAACCAGCTATGCAACTGTGATATGAAGCAAGATGAGTGACAAACACAGATTGTAACCACTCCAGTTGAAAAGAAATTATTTAAGATGGGACAGAAGTACTGTGTCAAAATTAAGAAAGGATAGGTCCACTTTAAAAGCCTTTAGACAACAGCTCTGCAAATGTTTGCCACTGTATCTCAAGGGATGTGGTCATAGTCTGTTTTGTTTCCACACAAGCTGGACAATACTTAAGGAAAAGCTTTGACAATTGCTTTGACAGGAAGCTGAAGGGTGCCAGTAACATCGTAGCTGCCTCAGCCCAAGTCACAGAAAGTGTTCAAATATATGGACTGGACCTCATTCTGCACAGCAGATTTAAATCACTTTGTCTGGGGCTATGTACAGCACACAGTCCAAACTGGTCACCAGGTTTCATCTCTTGGTCTGTTTTTATTGTAGGGTTGTGCCAGTCTATTGTTTCATATGGTTTTATCGAAACTTGTTTCAGCTGCAAGGCTGAAAAACAACCCCTACAAACAATCCCTTGGCTCCTGTAGGACAATGTCCTTTTCACCATTATTTTGCCATTCGAGGCAGACAGGGTTAAGAGGTTACAATGCTAACAAGCCTGGTGAGACTCCATCCCTCTCCTGATTTTATCTGAAGAATAACAGACGCCGTAATAATGTGCTGGGCTTGGTCCCAGTACAGGAAAGCAGATCTCTGCAAGAAATCCCAGAAGCGTGGGTTTCCATTGACTGTTTTTGTGAACCTGACCTGGGCCACAGAAGAAAAACCAAGTCCATGCTGGAATTCAGACACAGCTGCCACCTCGGTGTTTGCCCTCTGCCAGTAACAGAACCATCCCCCCTCACACTGCTTTCACTGCCTTCTTCCACTCCTGCCACTCGCTGCCTTCTCCCTAAGCATTTGGGCACTGATGACACTATCACCTGACCTCCATGACCTGAAAGAGAAGCATTTCTGGTGTATGACATGCACATGTAAGTAATTCAATGGGGTTTTGTTTGTTGGTTTATTTTTTTAATAGCTACACAGCTATTAAGCCTAAAGGTTAATGTATTTTTGAAAAAAAGGGATTTCCAACCCCTCACTGTAAAGACTGACATTAGTGCTGAGAGCATGCCAGGGCAACTGTGTTTACTGTACCCCAACTGATACTTCCATCAGGTTAGTGATATCTGATGGCCATTTTATGGTCTATGAGACATGAGTTGACCCCATTCAAATTTTTTTGCTGACAGCTGTTCGTATCCCCAAAAAATGAGTGTACCAGCAAGTATCCTCATTAGCATCTCAGTCTGAATAAGCAGAAGAGACTATTTACCCCTGGCCCCTTGCGGTGTGCTGCTCAGCACAGCCAGGGTTCAGCTGAGCTGGCAGCAGGTACAATGTGCACACCAGTGACAACTGCAAAGCCAAAGCAACTCCAGCTTCAAGGCTACAGATAACACAGCTCCGGGTTTGACCCAGCACTTGCTTAAAACCAGCTGCCAAGGCTTTCACAGCTCACATCAGAAACATTGTGAAACTTAGTGTCCAACTAGTTACTTAATGTGTTTCCTTATACAAAACACCCTTCTCCCAGCAATTGGATTTTGCCTTCGAGACTCAAATAAATGACTTTTTAAAACAGCACTTTTGTTTACCAGGACTGAACTAATTTAATACTGCAAACACATCCTTAAGATTCTACCACAAAGGACACACAGTAAGAAGTGTGCCCCAAGGTTACATTATACCATTGCACAGTAACAATGATGCCAAATGACTGCTTGAAATTTGACATCATGAACCAACATCTATTCCACTTTCTGACAGTTTTCGTGAGTATGACAGACTTTGACAAAGAAACGCAGCAGCACTGCTATAAACATTTTTCTTCTCCTAACATTTCAAATCGCGCCCTCTCTCATCTGCTTGCTCTTTTTAATTCCAGTTACAAGATTAACTCTTCTCCAAAGATTATTCCTTTTCTCGAGTTGTTGCAGCCAGCCTTCCACGTGCTCAGGGGAGAAGGAACATGCTCCCTTATCTGAAGCGAAAACCATGCAGGCTTTTCACCGTTTTTAGTTTCTTTGCGCTCGCAGCCGCGCAGCCGCCTCGGGCAGAGAACAGGCGAGTTCGCTACCGGGGATCCGGCCCCTCTCTGTCACCCCCGCGCTCACCGCGCCCCGCGTACCTGCCGCCGGCCCCTCCGGCCAGCGCCCTGGCGAGCGCCGCGCCGCTCCGCGACATCCCGGCCCGCCTGTCGCCGCCTGTCCCCGCCTGTCGCCGCCTGTCGCCTCCTGTCGCCGCCTGTCGCCTCCTGTCGCCTCCTGTCGCCGCCTGTCGCCGCCCGTCGCGGCGCGGGGCCGGCCCGTCCTGCCGGCGGGGGCGCGCAGTCACGGGACGGGCGCGCGCGGCCGCGGCGCTGCCCGTGATTGGCCCGGCGGCGCGCGAGCCCCGCGCGCGGCCATAATTGGGCTTGTGGGCGCGGGGAGTCCCCTCAGTGACCCCCCCCGCCCCGGCCTGTCCCCCTCCCCATCCCTGTCCCCCTCCCCGTCCCATCCCTGTCCCCGTCCCGTCCCATCCCTGTCCCCGTCCCGCCCCCCGCAAAGCGCCTAGCCGGGGGTCCCCGCCGAAGGAGCTCCCTCCGCGGCCCCTCAGCTGGAGCTCGTCCCGCCCCTGCTCGGCGCGGGCTCAGGGTTACGGTCACCAGCGTCATTAAAACTCTACAGTGCGGCCGCAGACCCGACTGTAACCACAGAGCGTCGTTTTAACACAAGCCGAAGCAAAGAGCTCACTACTTTCTTTTAATTCGCCTTTCAAATACGGCCTCCCTCAACGAAAGCCTGCTTTACCATTACAGTGTGATTGATGAACTACTGTTTGAACGTAACTCATCACACATTCCATATTTTGTATTTAATATGTATTACATGTAAGTTGTTTAAAGGTAAGTCTGCAAAATCTATTTCCATAAAATAGCTTGGGTGGTTTGGGGTTTGTTTTGGTTTGGTTTGTTTAATTTAGTACGTGGTGGACTGGCAGCTTTCTGACCGGGAATCTTGAACTGAGTTTAGTGTTTACTCACCCTGAACTTGAACATGAGGCTGGGCTGTGTCACACTAGAAAACCAGCTTGGATACATTGTCATCAATGTCTCTCCAGCTGTGGAAAGAACCCTTTCCCGCCCAATTAAATGCAACTAGAACTTAAAATCCAATGAAAGCCATTTAGTCAATGCATTGAAAAGCAAGAAAATTTCTGGACAAAAATAATAGTTCCAACTATGTAAGCCCACAACGACAACCTCTTCAGAAAAGTCCTCCTTTTTTATCCCTCCTTAATTATCCCAGTGTCCTTGCCATTAGCAAAACCACTCACCATTAAACAAGAACACCACCAATTTGGATGACTGAAACTAGTTGGAGCAGCTTTTACTTTACCACCTCAGGGCATGGTGTTCTTCAGATAAGCTGTCCTGTATTATATTCCTATTAACTTGATGTAAAACAGAAACATGTGAAAACCCACATTCTCCAGTGCAGGCTGAAAACAAGCAGCCGCTCCAGAAACACAAACAAAAACCCCAATCCTGGCCTCCCTCCTCCTCCTTCAGTCCTTTTTACTAAACTCATCTGTGGGTTTTGCAGCTTCCATCAGAGCTGCCTTATTTGCTGGTGTCTGTGTTTGCCATGGGAGCGTGTTCTGTCCCGTTGTTCTGTCTTGCTCCGTGGATGAGAAACTGCCTCTTAGAGAGATTGATGCCTTTCAGAATAACTGAAGAGTCAAGTGTTGAGAGGTCCAAGATGATGGATGTCTAAGGCACTCTGAGGTTTTTTTGCCTGTTTTGTTTTCTCCTGTAGGCTCAGGATTGCATTCATTAAACCTTGCCTGATACCTGTTGCTAGAAAAGAGATGTCCATTTGCTAACTTTGACAGGAAGAGGGTCTCAAATTAACAATTAACACTTAGAGGGATGCAAGACATTTCTGACACACCAGAAAGAGATGTATGGTATGGTCACACAGAATTTTTTTTCTATGTGCTATTTGTTGTAACACCACCATCATGAGAAAAGGTTAGGTTTAAACTCTGATTATGAGATTTATCCTATTAAAAAACAGTTAAGAATTTTAAGGACATCTCTAAGTGGGCAGAGAGACAGTCAATCCTAGATGAGGCAGGTGCATCCCTGTGTAAAAGCAGGTTATTTTTACACAATTTATTCAGCTCTATTTCTACAGATTACTGAAAAGGGCAGCTGGTTTAGTATGTTCCTTTAAGAGATAAAGAGCAAAGCAAAATTATAGCCATTGCACTCCTATTCATAAATTAGTTTTGAACAATACTTGCCTTTGAAAGATCTCAAAATATCTCACAATCATACATTTAGGCTAAGAAAGACATCTACAAGGATGGGTGATGATTAAGTTGCTAGTTACATGGTCTGCAAATGATGCAGCTAGGAATTAAGGGCAGATTTACTATTTCAAGTGGATTAATCAGGAGCTACAATATAAAATCACATGAATTTTCTTACATTTCACGTAGCACCAGTGAACTTGTAATAATTGAAGTATTTGGCTGTAAACCTGTTATGTAAAGGATTAGACTTTTTAGACCTTTATAAGATTTTGGTGGGCCTGTAAATCCAAAAAAGGTTGAAATCTCAGTGGATAGTTGCTCACAGCCAGTTTTGAAATCCAGCTGCTCTGTTCTTACTCTGTCCCACTTCCAAAATAGTACTGTCTGTATCCATTTAACTGCTGAGGAAGAACGTGATCCTCACTAACCCACCCAGACAGGGGGCTCAGCTCTGGCAGGCTGGGGGAGGGTTGCTGCTGGAGGAGAGTTGTGTCTTGGGCTTCTCCTGAGGGCTGGTGTGGCCCTTCCCCAGCTGCCCTCCCTCTGCCAGCCCTGGGTGCTGTGCCAGCAGTGACACGGGCTCTGTGGGCCTGAAGCCTGGCTCCTTTACAGACAGAATGTACAAAAAAATCCTTCCAGGGGTGCCCACAGGACTGTGGGAGCACGGATAACAACCCCATTCCCTCTTCCATTTCTGTTCCTGAGCTCATCCTCGCCAGCAGTGACACACAAAGCAGGGGTGGTTTGTGTCTGGGTTACACACACACCTCCCGTGCTGCAGAACACAACCCCTCCAAAAGTTTGTCATCCAAAGTGCGTTTTTTCAACTCACTGGCTTTCCAATGACAAAAAGGATCCTTTCTACTTTATTCCTTCCTGACATCAGAAGCAAAAATGGGACTGGAAGAGATTTTATTTCATGCTTTTTTTTCTTGCTCATATTTTAAGCTTTTGTGGAGTTGCTGCTGTTGAATATGTCTTCACTTTGGTTTAAGAATTTTTGCCCCTACCTTTAACAGATATATGAACATCAGTGAACTGTCCCTGGCTAAGCTAAGCACAAACCTGGGATAAAATGAAGCACTGAGAGTTTAGACCAGGTTTGTAGCTTTTCTGCATAATGTCAGTTCACTGTACAATTCTTTATAGCGTTGTGTGTGGGGAAAAAAAATGAATACAAATAAAAAGTTGGTTTTGGAAGAAGCAGCAGGAGAGTGTAGTCAGAAGCCTGGCTTCTTAGAGTGAACTAGTGCCAGAAACTTGTACTGGCACAATGGATGGGGTCGATCAAGGACAGACAAAGTGTCTGGATACTTCTTCAGCAGCAGTGCCAGCCAGTGGCAGCTTAAGCTGCCAATGAAGTTGGACTTGAATCTTACATAAAGTGGGATCTCACAGGTCTGTAATATAGGTATGATTCCAGATCTGCAAAGCTTATGGGCTCTTAAATCCAATCTGTTTCAAATCCATGCAGGAACCTCCATGAAGAGTGTGTACATGTGTGTATGTGGGGGAGAGGGATGGGAACCTGGGCAGAAGTAGGACTGGGAAACCACTAAGTAACAGCTCTGTCAGTATCCTGTGGAAACTGTGTGATGGAGTTGTTGTTCAGGAGGCAAAAGTCCATATTCAGGGCTCTGACAGGCAGACACAAAGAACCTGGGGCAACACACAGAATTTGCCAGGAAAGCAGGGAAGAGACACAAACAGAAAGCAATTTTCTCGTTGTTTCATCACAGCACAATTCCTGTTTGTTCTTTGTTTCCCTTTTATGGCACATTCCAAAATGACTAAAGTGTTCCTTGGGATCTCATCCCTGAGCTGAGTTCTGTTTAATGACAGAGGTAATGTAATATTGCAACTGTTCTGCTCAACATAAGTTGGAAGTCAGGCCAAAGAAACAAGAGAAAGTTACTGCAAATTGATCTTCGTAGTGAATCTGAGCATGTGACGTTTCCTTAAAATAGTTACATGCATTAAATTTTTGCAGTAGGGAGTTAGTGTCTGCCTCAACCTCACTCCCACATGTCCCTGGCCAGCTCAGGAAATATCTCCTTCTGTAGCCTGTGAGTATGTGCAAGTGCTTCTTTCCAGAAATGCAGAACGTGAGTGTAGTAACTCTAAAGACCCAGAAGACCCTCTGCACCTTCAAATGACAGTTGCTCTTAGGAACATTTGAGTACACATAGTTCTGTAAAATATTACAAGCAGAACTGTTCAACAAACTTCTGCAAACAAATCAATACAAAGCAGACAGATCTATAGATCAATTGGCTGATCAAATGTACATGTTAACACAAACACATGACCTTGGCATTATTTGCCTTATGACAACCCTCAAAAAGCCAAAATGTGACCTACCAGCTTTCATAAGGGGAGTGATTGGTGAGGGGTCTATGAGTTTTGCCATCATGCATTTATCACCCATTTTTGCAAATACTTTGTACATTTTACCTTACCAGAACTTTTCCAATTGACCCAACTTTGCTTGTTGCAGCGGCTTCTGAGATGAGGAACTTAGCAGTTGTACAAAAGAGCTGCGTGATAGTAAATAAACTCCAGGTTTACATATGTCACTGTGTTATGAAATGTCACTGATGTGTTGTATGAGTAAGCAATCATGGACTTTGTCCTTAGGCTGCACCTTGGTGTTTTACTGACGTTGATACTCACTCACACTAAAGTTCAGAGAATAACAAATGAGCTCATTCACAATATTTGACTGTGAGGGGGAGTTCCAAGGGCTTTGCAGGAGGACAGAGTCGATCCCACTCAGTTATGACGTACATGGTAGGCAGTGGTGCTGAAACATGTCCATCACATCCACAGAACTGGGAAAAAGTTGGTAGTACCCAAATGAAATGTGGAAGTGGTGTAAGGTCAGTTACTGCAGGGCAGTTAAACCATTTGTTTACATTCCCACCTGGGTCATGTGTCACAGACATCTGATTGTCTGTCCTACTCTCTTCCAGACTCTGTTGAGTTTGTCCATGAACTTATTGAACTGTAGAGTCTTAAAATGAACTCATCAATGGCTCTGCCTGTGCCAAGTAAAAGGAAATGACTACTTTCCAGGATTTTTGTGCAATGCCACTTTTAATGGCCTAGAAGTAGTTTACTTCCTCTGCAGCAGCACAGTGCTATGACAGACATGTAGCTCTGATTTGCTCTCCACGTCATCACTTCCTAAAGATTTTTATTATTTTGAATTCATATACTGATTTAGAATTCTAATATGTAGTAACTTCTCCTTTGTGTTATCAAAGTCCACCTCCTTGATCTCAGATTATTTCTTGTATGAATCAACGATTCTCAGTTACATCTTCCACCTTCCAGCAAGTTCGGCCAGTTTGGTGTCATCTGCCAATTTTAGAAACACGGCTTCCCTTTCTCCTTTACTACAATATTGGGTAGACTTGACCTGCCTGAGGGGCTGTCACCCAGTTAAGCCCCATCTTGTGGCAAGTGGACACACATGTGCTTTATTCTGGTGTGTTGGCACTGGGGCAGTTACCCTGCCTGGGTGAAAGAGAAGGCCAAGCAGTTCGGCAAACAGCGCAGGGCACCCCAATTCCCGTGGGAGAGCCCCGGATCAGCGGCCAGCACATTCCCAGCTATGCCTGCCAGGTTCAGCGACCCCCTCACGGCCGCCCGCACCGGAAGTGCCCTCCCGCTTCCAATGGCACGGCTGCGGCGCCTCTTCGAGCCCGCCCCCCGCCGCTTTCTACGCTGCTATTGGTCCAGAGAGCCGTCCATCAGCTCGCTCCGCGGGCCGGGGTGCGCGCGTGCGCAGTGTGGCGCCGGGAGCCGCGCGCGGCGGAAGCGGCGGGGCCGCAGCAGTTCCGCCTCGGCATCGGTGGCGCTGCACAAAATGGCGAAGATCGCCAAGACCCACGAAGGTAAAACCGCCCGCGGGGGCTTCGCGCCCGCGCCCGCCGGGCCCGCGCGCTCTGGCATCGGCCGCCGATTGTGCTTCTTCTCGCGTCAGCGCGGCGCCGGGCGCGGCCGGGCGAGCGGGAACCGGGCGGGCCGCAGCTCTGTGTAATGGCGGCTGCGCCGTCAGCGCCCGGCCCGGGCCGGGGGGGAGCTTAGGCCGGGGAGCGCTCGCTGTGCCCGCGAGGCACGGAGCGCGGTCCCTGCGCTGCCGCCCCACCGGCGCGGCCCCGCTGCCCGCAGGGCCCACGGCTGGCGCTCGGGGCAAACCCCGTGACCCCGGGGCGGGTTTCGCATCGAAACGCCAGCGACGCGCGTTTATTGCGGTGCCGGAGCCCTTTGGCCTCGACCCGCGGTGAACAGCGGCCGGAGGGGCGGGCGAAGGGGTGGTGCCGCTGGAGCCGGCGCGGCCCGGACCCATCCTGGGCCGCCGCTGGATGAGAAAAGTGCCCCGGAGGAGGGGAAAGAGCGCGAGGGCTCCAGCGTGTCAGCTGCCATTTTACACGCGTTTCCTGCCTGTTTATGTGTGAAAACTGGCTCTCGAGTGATTTGAGGAGCGAGGGCTTTCACAGGCCGTGTGTTATTCCCGAAGGCGGCGGAGCGCGCTGCTGCTTCCAGCCCTGCGTAGCGGGAATCAGAGCTGTCCCTGTGGACATCGACCGTCGCTCTTAAGTATATTCAGGCAACGCAGAATAATTTTGAGAATTATACCGCTTCTCTGTTTCTGCTTTTGAGTTTTTTACTCGTGTTTCTGTGTACGATAGGTGATCTGTTTTAATTTACATCCGTAATTCCCTAATCGAAAACCACCTCCGGACGGTGGTTGTGCACTGGGGGGTAGGCAGGGCGCCCAGGTAGTCCCTGTCTTTGGGGGTGGGGTTTCTTGTTTCCAGTTTTGCACTTAAACTTTTCAAATGGACAGCCATCATCTCCCGTGAAAGTGAGGTTAATATAGTCTTTAACACTGCAGACCTAATCTGAGTTTAGGGATGAAGAAGAGCTTAAACTGCTATCCTCGCTTTTTTATTATTTTGTTTGACTTTTTTTTTTTTTTTTTTTTGGAGTTCTGGGATATTTCTGTAGAATTGCAGGAGTTGTCGTTTGTTTATATGCTGTGACCTGCATAAGGGTTTGTGAGAGTATTACCTGTCACTGTGTTCTACCTCTCATATTACTTGAAGACATTTTTGTAATAAAAGAGTAGAACTGTTGTAGGATTTTTTTTTAAAAACTTAAATTGCTCTTTTATTGGAGCAAATGGTGATCCATTGACTTGAGTGAAAACATGGACGTGCTTCCCACTGCACGTTTTGATTAGTGTTGTATCAGAACATGTTTTAAGCAGGGAGTTGTTCAATAAAAATATGTATACCAAGGTATGATCATGTAATGCTCTTTCCCAGCCTGAACAGGCTTATTATTTTTCTTCTGAGCTCTATCCTATTTTTTTTTTTCAGTTACTGACTAGTTTTCCAAGTTGAGTTGTTTGTTACTAAATCCTCTTAGAAGATTTTTCGTGTATTTGTACTGGTTTGTTAAATACTTATTGGCTGATGTGTTCAAGACACAACTCGAAAGATGTATCAAAACAGCTGGAAATTGTGTCAGCTACATAGTTTAAGGGGGAACTCTGTGTTTTAGGCTGAAAAGTAAAGTTTTAAATGGCAGCTTATAAAGCTTCAATAAATGATTGAGCTTTGAAGTCTTCTGGAATTAGTTTTTAATTTTTTTTCTTGCTCAGAAAAGAGCAAAGAGATCACCAAACATAATAGAGAGATCTAATGTGTATAAGAGTGCTAAACAAGGTAGAAATAAATTGCATAGGGCAAGCTAAATGTGCAAAACTGTGATAAGGCATGAAAACGTAGAAATTGTTTACTCTGTAAAGTCCTACTTCAGTATAGGGTCTGGTTCTGCTTTCTTTTTTTAATGTTGCAAGTAGAATTACATGTGTGTGGTAATGGAGTACATATTTTGAGGAAGGCTCTCATGACCTGTCTGAGCTGGGTGTTCACTGACTTCCAATTCAAATGTGTTGACTTTCATAATATTCAGCGTTTATAGTATGTTTCAAACAGCTGTGCATGTTAAAGTTACTTATTTTAAAATACCAAACTATATTTGAGTAAAATACAGAAAAGGTATGAGCAGTAGGATATTATCCCCCTCCTCTTTTTTCCCTCTTAACTCCCACTCCCTGTACTGTTTCTCTGTCTATGACTGAAGTTTCTGTTAATGTCTGGTTTAACTAAATCATCAAATGAGTACTTTGCTTTGCACAATGTGTTTTTAAGCTTTGTGATTCCTCTTCCTTAATTTGATTTGTATTAAAGTGCTTTGTTAAATAGGGTGTGAGCTTTTTCAGGACATTGCCACTTAGCTCAAGGAAGGTAAACACATCTTGAACGTCAAAATAGCATTTTCCAGCTAAATATGTGATGCTTTCCAAAGGGGCCAGCAGGCTGCCTGCTGCTGCAGCCCTCCTGGTTCAGAGGTTTTTGTGCATGTCAGGGGGGTGTTCTCTTAGAGTGCTCCATTTAAACTGGCACCCAGGAACTGTGTGGCATTAGGTGAAAGTTATGGTGGCCACGAGTGGGGTTTGTTGACCCTGTCCTATTATGCAGACTTTCTTTGGTGTAGGTAACCCAGCAGGATTTGCTGTGAGGAAATGAAAATGCTCCTTAGTCTGTTAACAGATGTAATCCCTGGAAATTGAAAGGAGAAGGCCAACAATAAATGAGACCTGGACCCTTTTCAGTAAACTTAGCTGTTTAAAAATAAGAGAACAAGGCTTTAGTGTGCTAAGTGTTGGTAAGAACTGTTAATAGGAAGATATTTTTACATTAATGCTATTGCTCCAGAAATCCTAGGATTATTTAAATAGACTCTATTGATGGTAGTGGGGGGAGGCCATGCACAAGCAAATCTCTGTGGCCCATCCTGCAGGGCAGGGGCTTGTATTTGGCTGAGTTATGTGTTCAGGTTGATTCAGTGAACAGGTGATGGAAAGGCAGGGTGATCCTGCATTGTAGGCAAGATCTGTAGGCTTTTTTTTTTGTGTGTTGAAGTTGATTACAGCTATGGATGTTCAGTCAGGACTTTTTATGCTACTAAAGGAGGCAGAGTGTTGTTCTAGTAACTGCTCTTTAGAAATAAGAAACAGTGTTATTGTACTCTAAAATCACTCAGTGCCAGTAGTGTTGTCCTTGGGAGAGAAGGAAGCTTTGGGTATTCCCTTTCACTCCAGAGGTGCATTGCACCAGGCTGCAGAAGGAACCAGGAACTTGATCTGCTCTCTGGAAGAAACAGAAAGAACTAAAAAATCTGTGAGGAGAGTATTTGAGTTGCACTGGCTCAATAAACATGCCATAGGATGACTTCCCCAAAGTGGAATACCTTAAGATGATACAGGTGAGCAGGATACATGTGCCTCCAGAGGTGATCAGAGACCCCTGAGGGCAAGAGAGAGATCCCTAATTTTGTAGTAGTTTCTTTCTGCTGCTTCTCTGGGAAGTAACACATTGGGGAGCAACGTGCCTCAAGTTCTGGGCTCAGTGGAATCCCTTGTGCTGTGCAGGATTTTAGTGGGAGCTGGAGGTACCTGCAGGCAGGAACCAGCAGGTGCTCACAGCTGGAAAATAAGGCTTTTGTCAGGTTTCAGCTTCTCATGAGCTGAGTTTCTGTAACACACAGGTGGCTGTCCAAGTTATTCTGCTCTAGATATCTGTAAAAGGTTGATGGAAGCCCTTAAGTGGCTGGAGCAAGATTTTAATCAGCCTCTCTGGTCTATATTCTGCCGCTGGGACTCTTGGTGAGTTTAGAAGCGTATTTCTGCTGGTTTTACCACTGCAGGAATTGCTGGTTTGCTGTCAGGTTTACTGAACACTGTGCTTCACTGCCAGCTCCTGCAGGCTGTGTGTGAACACTTAGTCCTGCTGTTCTCACTCAGCTTTATGGCAAAG